ACTTTACAAGTTATTAACTTGACTTAATTCAAGCAGGAACTGAAATAGCCCCATGTGGCTTTAGACCCCTGGCTTCTGTTTCCTCTGCTATCCCTGACTTATCTTCACTCTCTTATTCTTCTGTCCCACCTCCCAGAAAACACCCTCAAATCTTGATTAATCCACCTCTCTTTTCTCTGGGTCTACACAGGTTCTGCTAGGAGGAGTCTGTGTGTCCCATGACTTTTCAAGCTGGTCACCAACCCCAGCAGGGCCTTTAATTCTTCCTGGGCATTGTCCTCTCTCCCTAGTGCCCAGATCCAGCGTCTCTGTCCTCAAGCCTCAATCCACAGCCCTTCTTCCACGCACAGCATGGGTGTCACTTCCTATTTCATTCAAACAAGAGAAGTTTCCGGATCACCTGATTGCTGATTTTACAAGGATACTTTTATCTGTCCTCAGCCTCTTTCCTCCTGCTGGCTCCTTCCTATCAACATTTAGGCATGTTCAAATAGCCTTATCTCATAAACAACAATGAAAAGCCCCTGCCTTCCCTCAATGCCATGTCACCTTCGTGCTGGGCTCTCTCTCTTCCCTACCAATTGTAGTCACACTTCTTGGAAGTTGTCTACACTTGCTATCTCCACTTTCTCACCTACCTTTCACTCCACAACCTGAGGCAGTCTGGCTTCTGTCCCCACCACCACCCTGCAACTGCCAGTCAAGGTCGCCAAGGACTTCCTTGTAGTTTAATCCCAAGCACTCTTTTCAGATCTTATCTTGACCTTTAAGGCATGTGACACTGCTTGCTGGCCCTCCTTCCTCAGAACTGTTGCCCATTGGTTTCTAGGACACCCTGAGTCTCTGAGTCCTTCTCCTCCTGTGGCTGCTCCTAAGTTTTTGCAAAATTCTCCATCCAGGAGTGCTCTGTTGTTGGTCTTCACAGGTAAAGCCATGTGCCAAGAATGGTGGCTCCCCCTCCTGATGCATTCCTTACACAAACACCTGGGAATTTGCTTTCTTACCCAAGAACCACACTGTTGTTTTGAACTCCAGTTTGTACCAGGATCCCGCTGCTCAGAGGCTGATGTGCCTTCTAGGGTGTGTATTTATAACCCCCATTTTGGGAAGCTCTCACAACACTTAGACATCTGTTTTTTTCATTTGTCCCCTCATAAGGGAGCATGATTTAGGAAGGGACACTGACAAATTAGAGGGCACTTGGTGAGGCTGCTAGGCAGTCAGAAAACCATGTCCTACAAGAAATCATTAACTTGAAGCATTTTTGCCTAGAAGATATAAAAGAGAAGAGGGAAGGAAGGAGGGAAGGAGGAAGGGAGGGAGGGAGAGAGAGAGAGAGAGGGAGCTAGTTTCAAAAGTTTGAAGAGACAGGCTTGATCTGGTTTGTGTGCAGAGTTGGAAGTGGACCAACTATAGATAGAAGTGACAGGTGGATTTTCTATGGCGATAGCGACGTTCTACTGTATTCCAGAAAATTTACAGACTTCTTGAATCACATGGTGTGTGAAACAGCCTTGCCCAACAGAAAGCACTAAAGAAGGTAAGGTTAGACCTAAGTGACCACAGTAAAAGTGGAGAGTGTCCTCCATGCCTTTCTGAAGACCACAGCCCAAGCCTGGCTAGCAATGGAGCTGAGCCTCACTCCACAGCATGAAATTTCAAATTTGCTGGCCTGAAAGATCCATCAAAGCTCTGTGGGCAGAAACTATGCAGCAAGAAGGAGGCTTGTGAAGAAGCTCTCCACAGTTCAGTCTTGCAGATATTCCAGGTTGGGTGGGCAGTGAGCTGAGCGCCCCCATTTTGTCTGTTTCAAACCCCTCCTAGACAGAATGCCTTTTCCTGACTTGTGCTTTGGTGCAGTGCCATCAGTTTAGATTGAGGGCCATCACAGAAACAGCCCTAGGAGCTCACTCTTGTGACTATTATGGGGACATTGCTGGGGATGTTTGCTCATTACCTCACACTGTGTTCCCTTTATGAGGCCCCCCAGGAGAAATTCCTGTCTCATTTTAGTACCAAGAACAGTTGTAATTCTCTTGAGCAATAGGTCTGTTTTTATCTCATGGACAGTGGGAATTGTGCAAGGGACATGGTCTCCTTTTCACTTTGGTTTCAGGGAAAGCTTAGGGACAAATTGGTGGCCCACCCACAGGAGAATAGGCCATCCCAGGGTGCATTTTGGCATTTTTCCCATCTCTGCTTTGTTTTCCCTCCACTTTTTCTTTCTTGTCTTAGCTGTTTTTATTTTACTGTACAAAATTGAGACCATACAAGGAAAGATAAATCACCTGTAGTCGCACTTGCCAGAGATACACGCTGTTAACAATGTTGTCTTTTTATGCAGACTTTTTAAAGTAAAAATGACTTCACACTGTGCATTTCCAATTTACTTTTTTTTCATTTCATATGTCACGAGCATCATTGCATGTAATTGAATGTTCCTTAAATAATTAAAAAATTCAGTATAGCTCTAGCAATTTAATACTAATAACACCTTGTGCCAGACTTTATGTGTACTTACATGGCCATATGTGTCAAGATAAATTCAGGGGTATTATTATAAGCAATAATATTCTTATGTGTCAATTCATTTGATGCTCAAAATCCTATGAGGGAGATAACCTTGTCTCCTTACAGACAAGGACCCTGAGGTACTGAAAGATGCAAAGGCCTGGTAGGATCCCCCAGCAGCATTCAAAGCCAGGTTTCCTGGCTGCAAAGCGTGTCCTCCTAAATCCTATGGTGTCTTTCACTCTACTGCTGGGATTTCACAGTTGACAGTGGTTAAATATTTCTTTTATTTCCTTTCACTTCACTTCTAATTTATATTATTTTGCTATGTTTTAAGTACCCTTTGTAAGTCACCTGAAATCCTTCCTGCTACAAGGCAAGGCATAAATAAACAGAACAGAGTGGTAAATGGCACACAAAGGCAAAGCTGAAGAGCTGCTCCCAGGAGAGGGTGAATCCAGGCTGTCCTGAGATGAAATGGATTTATTTCCTAGGGCTGCGGTGAGCCTCCCTTCCTGGAAGAACTGGCTTGGGTGGCCTGCTCTCACAGAGACTGGGTAAGGGTAGGAAAGGCCTTCCTCCCAACACTCAGAGCTGAGGCAGACAGTTATGAGGTCCCTACTTAGATTTTCAGAGCCTATGAACATGCCAGTAAAACAAAATGAAGCATTTAATGGAGCTTGCGTGGGGCAAGACAGCCCTTGGGCCAGAACCAGGACCTGAGGCTTTTCCCTCCAGATCTGTTACTGGGTCACCCATTTCAGCTAAGAAATAAACAAGAAATTTGGTTCCAAATGCTCAGCACAGCAGGTTCTTTCCCCTAAACCCTTTGGCTGCTGCTATGAGATAGTCAAAGGACACTGTCACTGTCCTCAGTCCTTTTGTTAAGGTGACAGTGAGGCCAGAAGGATGAGTTTGGTGGCTCCCAGGATGTCCCACCAGTCTATAATTGAGTGGGGTCAGCCATTTGACAAATGTGATGAAGAGAAAGGAGCCCAGGTTTCCCCCTACCCCATGTCTCATTATGTTGCTCAAGCTGGCCTTGAACTCCTGGGTTCAAGCAATCCTCCTGCCTTCGCCTCCAGAGTATCTGGGAAGAAAGGAGCATGACACCATATCAGGCTAGAAACCCAAGTTTCTATTTCTCCACTTAATTTTTACTAGCTGAGAGATGTTGGGCAAGTTTCTTCAACCTCCTGAGATCTCAGTATCCTCATCTGTAAAATGGAATTAATAACCATGCTGTTGTGGGGATTCCATGAGAAACTAGTGTTCTATAGCACCCTGAAAAATGCAAGCAAGGAAGTGCCAATAAACCCGCCTTGGGACCGATCGGGAGGGCTGGGCCGACCACCTGCTAGTGGCGTTGGCCAGTATCCAGGTGCGTACTTACCCCTTCAGCCTACTGCCCACCACAGAACCCTGGCAGTGAGGAGCCTCCTTCTAGACAATAGGCCCAAGGCATAGTGACAGCTCTGGGGGTGGGGTTAGGGCAAGCAGCCCCGCCTCACCGGACCCTAGGCGGCTTGGGCAGGAGTAAGGAGCAGGCAGAGGTCACTTCCTCCTCCCCTTCCTCACACCCCGGGGCTGCGTGCCCACAGGGGCACGGCCCTGCACACGGTGCCACTGGGCCGTCAGGACGGGTTAGAGGAAGGACCGACCTCGGCACAGCAAAGAAAACAAACACAGATGTGTTTGGCTGGGATCGGGAGTCGTCCCCTCCCCCCGGCCTGCGTGCTCCCCCGGGCGCGGGCGTCCACGGCTGCACCGAGCGCGGGAGACCCGGAC